AAAGACACATCCAACACCCCAAAGAATTTTCTGCTAGTCATTATGCATATCAATCACTGTCTGCAAACTTTTTGATAATTTCCCCATGAGTGAGACATTTGGAGTATCTTTACTTACAACTTTAACACATGACTCACTGTCCATTCGTACAGCAAACACTGCTACAGTTCAGTTTCTCTCTTCTCGTAGATGCAGACAGGAGAAGCTGGAAGCGTCATGTTTGACTCCTAAACCAGCCTGGATTCCCTTCCAGGAGGGATGCCCGCACCCGCCTCCAGAGGCTGTAATGTGAAGAAGGGTCCCACGGTGAGGCCATCGTCATCCCCAAAGCAGAGCAGCATTGCTCCCACTCAGTGGGACCCTTCCCCAGCCACTCTGAGCGTGAGGTCCTCCTAGCTGAGGTCACAGCAAGTTGACTTGTGGTCTACCTGGCTTCCTTGGCTCGCCCCTGGTGGGAAGGCAAATGGGCAGTGGAATGGGCAAGTTCAGGGGAGAAGAGCAGTGTCCACAGCCCGATGGCAGTGTTTAAACCACGGCCAGGGACAGTACAGCTATCACACGTCAGACCACCCACGGAGCCGGCTCTGCTGTCCCACCCAGCCACATACTGACCAGGCCCGTCTCTTCATGAAAAGACAAGGTGGATGAAAGGCCTGTTTAGATCATAAAAGGAACGAGTAAGTTCCCACGTACCTGTGATCCAGCCTCTTTCTATAAGTTATAGATGCCGGGAAAAAATAGGCATGCCCTACATGCTTTTAAGTAGCACTCTTCCTGCTGGGTCTCAGTAAACATTAAATAAAAGATATTCTAAAGCGATCCACCCAGCTGCTCTGACTTAACGCTTCTCAAGTGCAGGGCGTGGAAGAGAACACAAGCAAACACAGCAAGGCAAGACGCAGAGAGCACGTGGCCAGGCAGGGCCTCTGGCAGCAGCCCTGTGCCCGCCGCTCCCCTGGAAACCACGTCTTCAACAGGCCTGTATGGGCCATGTCACCACTCAGTGAACCACCCACACCCCCTGGGCTGGAGATGGGGGGAACGACTGACCTGGGCCTGGCCGAGCTCTACAAGATTGGCAAGCCCAGGCCTGCCCTCGAAGGGGTTCACCATCTGAGTGGGAAAACTTATGGAGGAGGAGACCCTTCCCTGGCTGGCTGCTCCCCACAGGCCTCTTGGGACCTGCTGAGGCAGGGCAGGAGCGCAGCGGCCATCAGCCTTGTGGAGCCATACAAACTGAGTCGCTCCAACATCACAGGGACCTCCCTGTACTAGGTTATGAAAGAACTGACACAAACCAAAGCCCCCTGTCTGAGCAGGGGCGGAGCCATGTCCCTAGGCACTCAGAGAATCAGATTGTGCAATCTCCATGGTAACCCCTTTCTCAGCTGGTAAAACTAGCGTGGTTGAAAGCTTGAGAGCCGTAGGTATGCGCCAGACACTGCAGAGCGCTAAGGGATCCCGTGAAACCTGTCATTCAAGCCACACAGGAAGCAGGAACTCCACCAAGTCTTCAAGACCAAGGGAGAAACAGCGCCTGCCGGCAGCGGAGGACGTACCGAGCCTCCATCCCTTCCTGGGTCCACTTCTCACACCTGGGCCTGCTTAGCTCAGCCCTCAGCCTTCACAGTAAGCAACGTTAAACACTCCAAAAGTATTTACTAAACACTGCTTGTCACTGTCCTGGGTTCTGGGAACACAGACATGAACAAAGCGGATGAGGCCCCTGCCTTGGTGGCACTTATTGGGCGTCTATATGATCCAGGTATGATATAGTGGCAGATGTCAAGTACTCCAGGGAATCCTAGGGAGGGTGGCTGCTGTGGTGACTCGTGCCTGGGGTCAGGCTGCCACACCCTGAAGAGACCTCTTTTGGGGATGGCAGTCTGAGGCTGAGGGGTGACCTAGCCCACCTGGAACTCTGTGGTGATTCACATCAAATGGGATCAAGGCCCATAGGTCTGGGCTTGGAGGAGGTGGGAGTCTTGGAGGGAGCACCCAGAGTTCTGGGCCCTTCTCCCACTGACACAGTGAATGCTGAAGGATGGTGGTCTTGTCCAGAGCACATGGACAAGTGCTTCTTCAAGCCTGTAAAAAGATACTGAAGCTAAAAAGACCCACCAGTCTCCTCCAAACAACAAAGGAATGAGTAGACTATGACAATTCTCACTACCATCTGTCTTAGGATTATTTTCACAATTTCATAACAAGTTGCCCACTGAAGCACAGGTTTTTCTTAGTCCAAGGAATTCTATAATTTTGCTCTGTTCCGGCACCACCAGAGATTTGCTCTGCAAAGCAACCAAGCTGTCCCTGGCCAAATGCACCATCTAGTGGTCAGTGCTGGAATCACATAACCCCTACCACCTTCAGACAGCTGTCCCTCTGTACCCTCTGGGTCAGTTCAAAGACACCCCGCTGCTGCAGATACCAAAATCCACAGATGCCCAAGTCCTTATGTAAGACAGCACAGTATATGCACAAAACCCGCACACCTCCCCACATTCTTTAAATCATCTTTTGACTATTTACGACACCTAATACAATGTAAACACTAGGTAAAAAGTTGTTTGACCAGAAAAAAATTTTTTTTTCTGCATGTTCAATGCAGTGAAGAACAGTGGACACCGAGAACCAGCAGAGAGGTTGCCCCTACTGTCTCTTTATCATCTACTTATTTCTCAGAGATGCAACAAAAATGCTTCCTCTCTCAATACCCACCTTTTGCCATTAGCTCCCTCTTCTGCACTCAATTTTCCCTCAGTTCTCTTGGAAAAACTTAGAATTTCACACAGAAAAGTCCCACTTTAGACCCAGAGTCCTTTCAATGGCAGCCGTGTCTCACTGACCTCATCTCCTACCCAGACCCTGAGCCACCCACTCCCTCCCTGGCCTTCTGTGGCTCCCTGAATGTGCCCAGGGCTGCTCACACTGCCCTCTGCCCAGAGCATCCTTCCACCCCCATCTCTGCATCCACAGGTCCTTCCTTCCTTGGGGAGGCAGCTCCTTTAAGGAGAGCTGTTATTGCCATCGTATCCAGATTCTAATGGCTTATTTCAGGTTTTCTCTTCAAAGCACTCATCACTATCTGATATTTTTATTAGTTTATTGTGGGAATACCTCCATAAGAAAGAAAAGTTCTCAAAAGCAGAAACCTTGTCTGTCTCCTGATATATCAAACCACAAGGATCCAAGCCTGCACGTAACAGGAATTCTCTCCATCTTCCCCTGCCCCCAAAATGGAAAATCCATTTTCACAGTCAATATGCATCGGATCAATACCTTTGAAACAGCAATAACAAGAAAAAGGAAACCTGTTGACTTTCAAGTGAAAATCAGGCTCAAAAAAGAGCCAGTAAAGCTCTAAAAACTGCTGAGAATCCTCTTTGAAATTTTCATGTACAACTCTCCTACTTTTTAATTAAATGCATTTTCCTCAAAGACTAACATTTAAAATGAACGTGGTTTATGTAATTTCATTCTTGTTTTGTTTAATCTTTGCCACTGTACCATTACAATCTTCAATCATTGATTTCAAATATATTCTATGTAGCTTCGTTTTGAGTTATACTTTGGCTAGGAACCTAATTGCTGGTAAGTAAGCTATTTCCAAGTGAAAACGGTTTTTCTGAGTTCTAAGCAACCCACTTGCAAAGGACATTTTGAATTATAACCCTTCTGCAAACTAGAGACATTTTTTAGACTGCTTTTAAAAGCTTTAAAAACCCCAGTTAATTTTGCTGTGAACTTTTCCTCTAGACAGCAAAGGATAAAAAAAGACACCAAGAGCAAAATCAGCAAGGAGGGGCCTACATGGCCCAAATAAGCCCTGAGTTCCATGCAAAACGGGTTTCAGAGATACCTGCTGATCAGACACTCTGGACAGAGGTGCCCACAGAGGCAAGCCATTCCCATCCTTAGGGACTAAACAGAAAGGCTGTCAGATGCTCAGGCTTCTGCATCGAGGAATTCCATGAGGCATATCGAATCTGACATGCAGCCCAGGATGACCTTGCTGCCAGCCCCGTCACAAAATGCAGGGGCAGGGATTCAGCCTGCCGGTGCGTGATGCACCAATTGTTCTGGTTTAAAATAGCCTCCTTTCCACTGTGAAAGTCTGGGCAGGTTACACTCAGTCCTTCTCCTCTTGTCTTCTCAGAGACGCACCAAGATGGGGTCTGCTGTATGGGGGAGTTGACAGTGGTGAGTGGAGGGGCCTCGGATCTGCGTGTTCACGTCTCATGAGCCCCTCACGGGTGCCTCTTGTTCACCCTATCAGCTCTTCCTTCCAAGGCCTACAGCCAAAGTCTGCAGTGAGCCAGATTCAGAGTCTGCCTTGCCCAGAGCCTGGAGGCCCCTGATGACTTGGCCCCTCACCAGCTCTGCTCGGCCTTTGTGGTCTGCATTTTGGGATCTGTGATGCCCATATGATCCCTAGTGGCCAAGACGACCTACGTACAGCCTGCACCAGAGGGTGGTTGGGTGACGACGAGGGTGGTTGGTAACCCAACCACCTGCTTTTCACTTCAGGCAACAAGGCGAGAGAGAGAATATCTGGGTTCCTCTCATTCCATCTGGGAGCAGGGCAAGACCTCTGGAAGCTACCCTCGGGGTCTCCTCCAACTGCACCTCCAGTTTACTGAGCTCTGATATGTCTCACCTATATGAAGCAGGGAGCATCCTCCCAGATCCCAAAAGGAACACGGGGAAATGCACAGGCTTCCCCTCCATCTGTCTGCAGGAATGGTGACCAGGACTCCTGCCCCCACATTTCCCCTCCCCTCAGAGTCCCTTAGGACCCAAGGGTTCAGAAGGAGCCTCCCTGCAGCCCAGCTTCCTTCTGGGGCCACACAACCTCACGCTCCAGGGAACTGCAGAGAGCTGTGTCCCTCTAGCCTGTGGAGAACCCGTGACCTCTGTCTTAGTCAGCTTTTCTGCCCTGTAACTAAAGACCCCAGCAGCACAATTGCAGAGGAGGAAACGTTCAGTTAGGGCCTCACACTTTCAGAGGGCTCCGTCCATAGACAGCAGGCTCCATTCCTTGGGGCTCGAGGTGAGGCAGGAAATTTTGGTGGAAGAGTGTGGCAGAGGGAAGCAGCTCACAGGATGACCTGGAAAAAGAGCAACTCCACTCACCTGATGCAAATATATACCCCAAACCACGCCCCCAAAGCCCACCTCCAGCCGAATGCTCTGCCTCCAGTTACCACTCAGTTAATCACATCAGGGATTAATTCACTGATTCGCTTGTCCCCATCATTTCTCCTCGGAACCTTCCTGCGCTGTCACAGGTGAGCTTTTGGGGGACACCTCACATCCAAACCGTAACAACCTCATTCAACTTTAATGACACTAGAGGGGCTAGAAAGTCTTGAAAACTCCTCTCTCACTCATAAAGCCTGTTTTTCAAAACTATGGGACATTTTAAAAAATAAATAAAAGATTTTTTAAAAATGCTTTCTACCTGGATGTCAAAAGCTACATTCCCGTTATGAAAACCCTGACCCTCCTGGGGCGAATCAGCGCCTCTAGCAGTGCGGTGGAGACACCTCAGGGAAGGCATGGGACCGGCTTTGACAGATTTCAGAACTCAGCTCCCACCCCAGGGCCGTCGCGTGCTTCCCTGACCACCCCCTTGTGCCAGGCTCCAGGCAGCACAATGGGCTTGTTGCCTGTGAGAAGCTGCCCAGCTGGTGTGGCCCCTGTCCTGGGAGGAGGGAGTGGGGTGAGACCAGGGGGTAGGTCCCTGGCAGAAGAGCTGAGATGCTGATCAACTCTGCCCTGGACTGCAGAGCTGGCTCTGAGGGACGAGGAAAGTGGGACAGTCCAGGGAGGAGGGAAGCCCAGGCAAATAAGCCTCCCATGCCAAAGCACGGAGACTTCCACGTCTGTCATGTCCAGAGGACTCCACACAGGCCATGCGACTCCGCGCGGGGAGAGGCTGGACACAGGGTTGGACAGCAAAGGTCAGAGCATGACTGGTGGCAGGGTCAGGAGGGCCAGGATGGCCGCGTGCATCAGGAGCATCCTCTGGCTTCAGGGTGCAGGGTGGGAGGCTGGAGAGCAGAGGTGTGACTAGCTCACAGTGACGACACGGCTAATGCTGACTGTGTGTGTGATGTCCAAGTGACCCCCACCACTCCCTGGGAGGCAGGCGCCATCAGAGTCCTCCTCGTTTAGAAGGATCCCGAGGCGAAGACAAGCTCAGGAGTCTTCCTCAGGCCCGTGACAGGACCAGGCCAGGCAGAGTCTGCAGGCAGAGTCTGACTCCGGAGCCCAGGCTCCCGCAGGGGTCCAAGGAAGGCCCATGACGCTGGGATTTTGCTAATGGCACCAGGGATTGTGCTGGGCAGAATAATGCCCCTCAGCAAAGACGTCCACCTCCTAATCCCCAGAAGCTGTGACGGTGTCGTCTTGTGGCAAAGAGAAGCTAAGATTGCAAATGGAACCCTTCAACTCCCTGAAAACAGGGAGATCACGCTGGACTCCCCGCTGGGCCCAGAGAAATCCCAAAGGTCCTTGAGAGTGGGAGGAGGCAGGATGGAAGATCCGAGGAGGAGATGGATGAGAAAAGCAGAGCCGGGAGCAGTGACGTGGCTGGCTTGGGGACTGAGGAAGGGGCCGGGAGCCAAGGCACACGGTGGCCTTTAGAAGGTGGGAGAGGCAAAGGCAGGACCCTCTCCCCAAGGGCCTGCCACGCCCTTGACCGTGAGCCAGTGAGGCTGGGGTCAACATGTGGCCCACAGACACAGGACGGTACGTTTGTGCCATCTTCAGCCCCTGTGGTCAGTTATTGGGCGGTCCCAGAAAACCAGGTGAGAAATCACCAGTTCAAAGCACAGGATGTGGAGACCCGTAGACGACGGGGCCCCGCTAGCAGACGGCAGTGGTGCCAGCATGAGGTAAAAGAAGTGGATTCAAAGAGCCTCTAAAGACCCCCTCAGTTCCCCGAATCCAAAGTCCTGGAGCTGAAACGCGGAGCTGACCCCATGGAGCAGGCTGACCCACCGTGGACTCCTGGCCTTTCTGCCTTTTTATTTGACTTCCCTCCGTCCGTCTGTCTCTTGCATCAGGAACCTTGCCGGAACTTCTTGGCATTTTGTTCTTCTCCTTTTTCTCATCCCACGACCACCAGGTTCAGAGCTTCAGGGAGCGAAAGAAGGTCCCCTTCTCCCTCCTCTGCGGCAGCTTCCATTTTTTCCTCCTGTGTGCGCGCCAGGAGGAGCCGACTGGGGTGCAGACAGGCCTCCAGGGCTCGCGCTCCTGGGAGAGGAGCCCTGGGGTGAAGGGTGGCAGGACTGGAGAGGAGCCGAGGGAGGACGGGCTGCAGGGAGAGAGACGGCAGTTCTGCAGGGGAAGCCCTCTCCCGGCACACCTCCCCTAGCCTTGGCCTTCAATCCTGCACCCAGTGAGCAGGCTGATTAAGAGTTGGGGTTCAGAGTTATGGACTTCACTGAGACGGAAGCCAATGGAAGAAACAGAGACGGGCAGAAAGGCAAAGGAAAGAGAGGCTGTGGCGGTGAAATCCCCCCATCAGAGTCCCTCCCACCTTACCCCAGGCCCATTTTTCTTCCAGGCCCGTCATTTCCAAATTCCTGAGAAATCCATAAATCTTAAAGTGGCCTCAAGTCTGCTCTTCTATAACGATGATCCTGCATTGATTAACTGGTGGCACTATTAGCTAGACGTTATATTTTTATACTCGATTAAACAAAGGAGATGTGATTTTAAAAACCTATAATAGGGGCACATTTCAAAAGTTGCCTCTTAGCCAAGCAGGGGAGACAATGTCCACCCAAAGACCCTCAGAAGGACCAGACCATGTAAACAGCGTGTGAGCACCACGCTGGCACCCTCCTCCCCATTCCTGAGCCTTCCCACGCCCACCCCTCACAGAGTTTCTTGAAAAGGAGAGCCCAAGCCCTGGGGCAGGACCAGGACGCACCCTGGAAGGCCCCACCGCCTGCTCCTCCTCTGAGCTCTGCCGCCTGCTTGCTCATAACCTCAGCAGCGCTGGCTTCCCAACACAGCCTGGAATTCTCCGCCAAGGTGGACATCTACCTGGACCGTGACCAGGAGGACCTCCTCAGACCCCCGTCCTGTGACAAGATGACTCTGGTCAGCTGGGGAAATTGCTGACCTCCTGAGAGTTGGATTTACTGTTGGAGGAAAGGGAGCATTTCATTTAACAGCAATAGACACCAGTGTAAAGACACATTCTGGGGAGGAAAGTTCTGTCAGTTCTTCAGTTTGGCTGCACATTGTTTTCTATGTACAGAATGACCGCCATCTATTCCGAAAGTATTTATTGAACCAGGTGCTCTAGCAAGGAGCAACATCAAGGACGAGGTCCCTGATCTGTTAGGATTTATAATGTGTTTGGAAAAACAAGACATACAACCTTGAAACACCATAATAAAAGCCACAAGATTTTTTTAGTAATTTTCACTCATGATTTCATCTATGGTTAGATTCCAAAAGGCAGGCCTGGGGCTGTAGCTCAGGGGCAGAGCACTTGCCTGGCACATGTGAGGCACTGGGTTTGAGCCTCAGCACTGCATAGTAATAAATAAATAAAATAAAGGCATCATGTTCATACACAACTACAAAAAATATTTTTTAAAAATTTCCAAAAGGCAGGAAAACAAACAAGTCGGCAGAATTTCAGGGGTGGGAGATGGCAGGTCAGACACGGTCGTGGAAGGCTGTATGGAGGAGGGGATATCTCAGCCGGGCCATGAAGAGAAGGGCAGAGAACTGAGAAAGACTTTGAATGTTTGCAAAACTAGAGGAGCAGAATCCTCGCAGGGTCTGGGAGGCCGGTGGACAGTCCAGTGGGGCCAAAGGGAAGACTGAGAGAGGATGGTGCCGGATTGTGAAGACTCCGGGCTTCTCAAAGGGCACTTGCTGGGAGCTTCAGAAGCCCCAGGACCAGGAATGCATCCTCCTCAAGAGTCAAGCATCAGCAATTTTCTCGGAGCTTTGGAAAGAAGATTAAGTCTTTTAACTGGTTTTGAATGTTATTTTCATAGAAATGCAAATATTGGCATATTGTTATGCAAAGGACACACTTGCATGAATTTCTAAGATAAAAATACTTCAAAGAATGTTGTCACTTGCAACCAGGACCTCAGCCCTGAATGGTCTTCTCAGGGGACTCCTCCTCTCTGCCAGTCCACTGATAAGCTCTGGGAGTGTATTCCTGATGTTTCCAGGCTCCCTGCTCCCTGCACTGCCTGCCCCCCCCACCCCAGGTTCTTATCTTGCCTCAGTCAGGTTACTGCAGTTGGTTCCAGGCTGCCTCGTTGTTTCTCCTCCCTCCCTTTCTCCTGCACCACATCCAAGGTCATCTCTGTAAAAGGAAAATGGAAGGACACTGCTGCCTTGCTAAACCCCTCCAGCCTCCCCTCCCCTGCGCTCCAGCGCCTCCCCACCCACCCCTGCACACATCCAAGGACCTGGACGGCCTGGGTACATCCTTCTGCACACAGTTCTTGTCCGTCTGACCACCTCATCCTTTGAGAAAACATGTTTTGCGAACATTGTCCCAACATTCTCTTCATACTATGCAGTTCTTGAACTGAAACCTGAATAAGTTGTCTCAAGGAACTACCTTTTCTTCTATAGCTGGGAGAAAACTGTTGATGCTCCACATTCTTCAGCCCAGGTTTCTTGAGGATCATCAGGAATCTGCAAACATCTTGTGATATGTAAACATTTCTAAAACAACAGAAATTGAACACCATTTTCTTAGATCTTTGTCTTCCACATGTCTAATCCTAAAGCACAAATTGCTTAAGATGCATCAAGAAATGTACATTATTGGCTCACTGTGATGAGTTGGGCGTCCTTTAGGTACTAAGGATGAAGATGTGAAGGAGACACAAGCTGCTCTGTAGAAGAGACAGTCTTGTCCGCGTCTCCATTCCCAGGGTCATTTCCTAACTAACTACTGGGGGATGGAGATCTCACTCTCGGTTGCAGCAGGAAATGAGCCTGGCAGAGCCCCCAGAGACAGGGCTTCTGGGCAAATCTAACCACACGGAGAGAGTCGGCATCACTGGCCCACAGGGAAGCTGGCTTCTGATGAAATCGTGAGCTGGCAGGCCGTCGGCTTCCCCTTCGTATTCTGCAGCGACCTATTTCACAGGGTCTTTTGGGAGAGGACAGGTGCTGCGGGGTCACCGTGCCCATGTGAGCTGGTCCACTTCTTCTTCTGGATAGAGACCCTTGAATAGAAGAAACAGACCCGATGCAGTAAGCCACAGTGCTCCCTTGAGCTTGGGCCAGGCAGCGTGGTGGTCATCAGCTGTGCCTGGCCATCCTGACCAGCTCAGCGTCTTCCCTCTTGCCCACGTCAACCACCCACCCACCTCTTTAATAACGCTGGCCGGGGAGAACTGTGCCAGCCCTGTTTCTCTCAGGCCTGGGGCAGTAAGTCTCTTTCTTCTTGGCTGTCGTGAAAACCTCCTGCTCCACAGTGACTAGAACCAGCTTGGCCTCCGCCTCAGATCCGGTCCTCAAGCTCCACGACTCACTCACTGCCTCTCACGATCCAATAGGAGTTTGCCCAAGACGACGTCTTCCCCCATCTCCTTCATCCTGTCTTCTCACAATTTTTAAGCTTCTAAAATCTGCATTTTATTGCAGCCGACTGGATAAAGCTTATAGGGTCCTTGACATAGATCCAAAAATGTTAGCAACTACAGGCAGAACCCATGTGGAATCAGCCAGCGTCAATCTCTGCGTGGCCAAACAGAGAAGGGAAGGCGCTGTGCGGCCCGGATCCGTGCCCCTGTCAGCGCCTGGAGAGTGCAGGGAGCACGGGGTTGGTCAGAGCCGGCACATGTCCCCCAAGAGCATCCGCCCCGCAGTCAAGAGGCAGAGGCGCTTCCTCAGTCTCCAGGGAGGCGAGACCTTGTCCTCATGCTGCCTGAGATGGTCACCCATCCTTGAAGCCAGAGGAGCCCAGGAGGTTCTGACACCCAACACGAATGTCTTCCAGCAGCCCCAAACGAGAACAGAAGATGGGCATCAGCTGGCAAAGAGGCCCTCGGACTTCTTAACCCCGACGTGGACTCACCGAGGACAGAACAAGATGGCCCTGGGCCCTCCCGATCCTCGGAATTCCCCTCTTTCCTATTTTACTAAAAGCTCCTAAGTTGATTAATTGGTCATATAAATACAACCCAATTCCCCAAGAGGAAAAATAAATAGGTTTCATTCTCTTCCCCAGCAACCAGAGCCGCTCCAGGAACAGCATGGCCTGAGACACAGGGGTCATCTGCCCGCTCCGTCACCCCAGCTCCCACTTGCTGTCCCGACAGGTGCTCAGCCTGGCCTCTGACCTCCTCAGGAAGCCCCTCCCAGGCTCGGGATTCCCTTAACCTCCAGCAGAGCTGGGTACTTCTGCTGCCCAACACTGGATGACGGGGTTAATTCTGGACTCACAAATGCTTCTTGGGAACATGATTTTGCCTGAGCAGGCATCACCCTGCATGGCTCCCCTACCCCGCCGAGGGGGGGACCGCTGTGTGTTCTGCCTCCTGCACAGCAGAGCACCTGGTGGTGAAGAGCTGACCTGGGTTCAGAGCCTGGCTCCGACTGACAGCAGAGTAAAATCAAAGTAGAGTGTTCCTGTGACATCCCATACACTAGTGCAGAGAGCCGTGCCCAGCACAGAGTACGTCTGTGCCAGCCACCTAAAAACCCAGGTGAGCAAGCCCATCTTTTATTTCTCATTTCTGCCTTATCACCTGAGCAGACAGAGGAGCTGGGAACTTGACAGATGTGTGATACGTACATACTGACCAAGCAGCTTCTCCAAATAGGCTGCATCCTTCAGGGCTGATTAGAAAACAAATCCTCCCAAGAATTCTCATGGAATAGCTACTTGTGGCTGCTGCCTGGACCAGGCTGGGAGCACCACCCCTTGCTCTCCTCGGCATCACTGTCCCTTTAAGAGCCCCGTGGCCCTGCAAAGCAGCATGGCAGCAGGATGACTCAGCACCGCCTGCATCGGGTGCTCTCCCCAGTCCTGGCCTGGTCCACTGGGGTGGCAGCCAGGCCCTGCGAGGACCCCACAGCATCCACCCAGGCGCTGCAGCTGCCTGGGCTGCAGCCTCCCTGCAGCCTCCGCGGCCTGATGCTGATGCGCTTGCAGAAGAGCTGCCCTTCAGCCCTGGGCCAGGCCTGTCACTGCAGCCTGGGCAGGGAGTCAGAGCACGCTCCTCCGTCAGTCCTTCTGGACCCCGGGGCAGAGTAAATGCAAAGCTGCGCCCCTCGGTGTGAAGAGCGTCCCCTCGATGACTGACCGCCAAACCTGACGTGGGTGGGAGGAGGGGAGCCCCCCATGAGTCCCTTGGTGTTAAAGGGGAATCATAGGCTCCGACCATTTTCTGGAGACAAGGACCTTCTTGAGCAAACTACATGGAGTTCCAGTGACACCCCCAGCCCCTGGCTGCATGCAGTGGTGCTCAAGCAGTGTTTGATGGCTGACGGTTGATGAACAGCCAAAGCCTTTAGGCAGGGGTGTAACCCTGACCACCTCCTCCCCTCACCCAGGTCTCCTCTGCCGTCACCTCTAGGTCTCCAGGGCCCTGGGTCCTGGGCAGGGAGGAGGAGCTGGCCCTCTCTCTTTCCACTGGAATTTGGTGTTGAAGATGCTCCCCGAAGCCAGAAGATGCAGGCTGTGAAGAAGGGCACGCTGCGTCCTACCAGCTAGACGAAGGCGGCGGGCACCTGTACCACCCCACGCTCTGGGGGGAAGTGCCAGTTCCCAGGAGGCTGAAGTGGCCTGACCTTTTTCAGTGGGTGTGGTCACTACGAGCCTCTGTGACTGAAACCAAAGGGGTTCCGTGGGCTTGCTCTGTTCTGCTCTAGTCCACTGTTTCTCCCCAGCTCTCTCTTTGGTCACTGCTGCAGCCCAGGCCTAGCTGAAGGCTCCTGGTGCGTTCAGGTGAGGGGACAGTTCCACCTGGCAGGCAGTCCTGACCTGATGTTTTGTCCTGGTCACTTTGGAGGCTTGCAGACTGCAGAGACCATCCTGCAGGCCTCCCTGTGCAGGAGCGGACGGCAGCCTGTTCCAGGAGAGACAGCGCCACCTGCTGTCCTGAACACTCTCGGCCCACGGTGCGGTGCCCTGATTTTGAAACCTGCAGGGATGTTTTTTCTAAGCTGCTCTGTGCTTGAGGCTCAGAGCTCCACAGGGAGCAGAGACTGACGTGGGCACCTGTAAAATTGGCACCATCACCACCCGTGAGGCTGTGAGCCCGTGACGCTCAGGAAACCCTGGCAGGACCGCGTGGCCCACCCTCCTCCTTCCAAACTGTGGGGTTTTAGACAGGAAAGGGCCTGAAGCGGCTTGAGGTTCCACTGAGGAGCTGAAGGGAGAGACAGGACCCAGGTGGCACAGAGGCCCAGGCACCCCACAAGCACTTCCCCCGGGGGGAGCAAAGGCCGATGGGATTGGGGCATTTCAGCTCTTTCCCTCTCTCCTGCAGCAGAAATTTTGTAGCAAAATTTTCTTCTCGGTTGCTTTGTGATCTGCATGCTGGTCCTGGTGACGGTCCTCTCTTTGAGCATGCTTTGTAGCATAGCCATTGACTGAAAAGCCCAGGTCCCCTGGAAGGAGGCCCCAGACCTGCCTGATCCCCACAGCCATCCAGAGGGCTGCCCGCCAGTGAGCCTCGCAGTCTCCCACCAACCTCAGAAATCACATCCACTGCCCTGGCCCTGAAGCTGCCACCCACCGGCCTCCTGGGGTCCTATTCCAGGAGACCAACATCACCTCTTATCCTCTAATGCTGCTCCTCCTCCCCCCACCAAAATCACATCAGCTCTTACTGTTCCAAGGTTTTACTTCTGACCTTATCAATAAATGGATGAGATAGCAAATAACCATGAGTTTTCAGCTGACAGTTTCCTGAGATTTCTCTGAAACAGGATAAAAAGGATCCCTCTGTGAACAGAGACCCGCTCCGCCCCCCGGGAGCGGAGCTTACAGGAGCAAACGCAGCATTCAGGATTCACATAACCTCTCTTTTCTCATCTGCAAAACGGGCACAACAAGGTGTTCCTCACAGGAAAGTCCTCATCTAATTGAGGATCGAATGAGACAACAGGTTTCGTAAAACGCGTGGGCCGAGGCTGGCGGTCGCCATGACATTCACCATCCTACCAGCTGCCTGGACCCCAGGCTGGTCTTGCTTGTCACTTGGTCCCCAGTATTGTCCATGGAAAAACTCAGATCTGCCTTCTGTGGTTCGGTAATTATTTAGTAAGTGCTTTCGTCAACAGGCTGTTGGTGACCAGAGAATATAAAAGACAAAACCCTCAAGGAAATGGAGAGGGGCCCAAAAAACAGACCCTGTGTGACAGTCTGGGAAAGTGCCAGGAAGTGCCACAAGGAAGATGCGCAGAAAAGACTGGAGGTGGGGGAGGGGAGGAAAAGTCCCGCCATCTCATCGTTTTCCTGCAAAAACAGGTGGACACAGGATGAAACCTGGACTCCATGGTGCTCTCAGGCCCCAGCCAGTGCGCTTCGGCCACAGGCCTCTGGGCCACTCCCCTCACCAGAGAGCAGGGCCAGTGCTGTGTCCGGCTGGAGCCAGCCCCCCCCCCCCAGGCTCTCCCCCAGCCAAGGAAGCAGGGCCAGTGCTGTGTCCGGCTGGAGCCAGCCCCCCCCCCCCAGGCTCTCCTGCAGGCCCCAGGCTGAGGCTCTGGCCCTCCGCCACCGACCTACGTGTCACTAGGGTCATAAAGCCAGGAAGTGGCCTTGCTTTTCTGTGCGGCTCCTGCTGGGCTGTCTGCAGGGGCACTGCCTCCCTGTCCCTGGTGCGGAGGGCCCTGGGGAAGGCCATGCCCCCTGAGACGGCCATGCCCGCTGAGACGGCTGTCCCACCCACAGCGCCTGCCTTCACCGTCCACCGCTTTTCTTCTGACAGACCAGCCAAGGCAGCAGGCTGCCCGTGGGCATCTGCTGACCGCACGTTTGGCAGGGACGTTCCACCTGGCTCTCATGCCCAGCCCACCATGGACCGAGGCGGCAAACCTGCCTGGCAGCTGGCCGTGAGCAGGGCTGGGAGGGTCCTGGAGAGAGGCAACTGCTGGGAGGTGGCCTGAGCCTCCTCCCACGACACCCGGCAGGACCCACGCTCCCCCCAAGGGCCGGGAGAGCACTGGCCGAGTGCTGAGCGGCCAGCTGGGCGCCTTGAGGAGCCTGCAGTGAGGCCTTTCCAGCAGGCCCTCAGCGCCGCAGTGAACAAGCCGGGCCCGGGTGTCGCCAGAGCAGTGACAACCGAACAACGGCTTCCGTGCAGCTCCCAAGCGGCTGTGCACGCCATCACTGAGGAGGGGAAGCAGCTCCTCCTCAGGAAAACGCATTTCACCAGGAACCACATTTTGTTTCTACCTTTGACGGTTCCTATAAAAGGACCGCCACTTAGGCTGGACTCCAGAGGTCCCAGGGGTCCTTTCCAGGTCCTGCAGGCCCCACCCACACTCAGTGTCTCTCTGGGGTGGCATCCCAGTGACCCTGGGGTTAGCTGGGCCTCCCCTCTGTGTGCTCCCTGTGCAGCCTGTTGTCAGCTAGAGGTGGGTTCCAACTGTGAAGGTCATGGCTGCAGAACCCAGGTTCTGAAGCCTCGCAGGCTACCTCAGCCTCCCTGAGTGTGTGTCAGGATTTGGAGATTCCTGTCCTGCTCTACTGAACGGGGTGCTGTGCTGGGGGTAGTTCCCATAAGGCCCCAGGCATTTCCCACCCACCCTGGAGTCGGAGGGCTGCTACTCAGAATGTGATCAGCGGAGCAGCAGCATCAACACCTAGAGATGCCTCTCGGCCTCTCGGGGAGCCCACCCCAGACCCACTGAATCTTGCTTGAGCCAGATCTCGGGTGACGGTCTGCACACTCAAGTTTGAAAACCAAGGCTAGGACCTGGGAATCCAAGGTGAGCCAGTAACAGAATGTCCCCTTTATCAGGGTCAGTGACTCCATGCCTGGTCTGCTGGGCAGCAGAACCCAGAGCCATGCAGCAGGACCCTCCAGCCAACTTCCAATCCCCCCTCTGTACCTGGCCCACAGTCACTGCCCGCAGGGGTCCTGGGGTGGTGAAGGGCACACACCCCTGTACCAGACTGGTGTCTGGGGCCAAACCTCAGCCCTGCCACTTCCCAGCAGGGCAGCCAACAGGAAGCCACCCAACCCTCCAACTCCTAGCTTCTGTGTCTGTAAAGTGGAGGATTCTGAAGGCTGCCCCGGGGTCCTGGAAACGCTCCCTGTAGCTCACGACCCCATCCATCTCAACACCCGGGAAGTTGCAGCTGGAAGTGGCCTTAGATCACCTGATCCAAACCCCTTTCCTGCTCTCCCCGTTCACGCCTGGAGACCCCAGCCAGCCAGGCAACCCCGGAAGGCAGGGCCCCGAGGAGAACCCAGAGCTCTCAGGGCTGAGTCTGCGTGCCTCGCACCATAGTCGGGGGTAGGGGGTCACGCGTAGGTGTGGCCCAGGAACTCAGTCCCAGAGAGAGATTTGCATGCCGCCAGGGTAAGGGGCGTGCTCTCAGAAATAACACGGTCGTGGGGTGAGGGGGCAAGACTGGGAAAAGTGAGAGGTTGACCCTGACAGGAAGCGGGGCCCAAGATGTCCCACAGCGAGGCAAAGCAGCCGGCCTTCTAGCTCCACCTTCTAACTCACTGAAGTGGCTCTGCCAGGCCCCCGTCATGGGAGAGTCACCCTGAGAAAGGGACTCAGATGTGAGTCACCAGCAGCTGGGACAGCGCCCCGGCCCCACCCGGAGATCTGAGCAGACACAGCACCTGGCACCAGGCCTTTTGCCCCAGCCAGGTCACCCGCTTCGCAGGTAAGGTGGCCCCTTCCGGGAGCAGCTTCGTCTTCTGGTGCTTTCTACACCTGGGAACTTCCAGAAGACGACCTCGTAACTGTGTCTGACCTGTGCCGTCAACTGACACTCACTGCCCCCTCCCCTACTGTCTGCTCTAGATTCCTTTGACCCACCCCATCCCTGAGCACCTGGGGCCCCAACCACCCCTCCCGCTGGCCTTATCTGCCCTGATCCCCTCACCTCTGACTGGGCAGGAAATTCCAAGAGCCGCCCCAGAGTAGCCCCTGAAGCCAGCCACGTTCCTTCTGCCCCTTTTACATAGCAAAGTGCTCCTTGCTCCTGGTGCCAGGGTCACTGGCTGCCAGCATGATGACCCCCTTCCTCCGGTTGCTCTCTTAGTACAAAAGAAAGAAGGAGAAAGCAGACGGCGAGGGCAGTTCAGAGTCTGATGAAACGTCCACCTCTGGGACCGTCCTCTGGACCCAGCAGGGAGTCCCCACGATTCCACCAGGGAGGCACAGGGAGGGCTGGCCAGCAGGGCTACTGCCACTTTCACCCCATGACGCTGGGATCCCTGAATTCCACTCGGGGGATGGGGTCCCCTGCGGGGGTGGTTCCTGTGGTGTGGACCTCATGGGTCACCCCGATCCTGCCCCGGGGCTGCTCTAAGTCACATGCCCATTGCTCAGACACCAGGACGGCTGAAGGCAGGCGGAGGCCTGCTGTCTGCGTGGTCACCCAGTGCCTCTGTGGAGGGCTGCTCTCGGGGGAACGGACACTCCACACAGAGACTCAGCCCTTGGCCCTCGCCCCCAAGGCCATCCGTGTCCTCCCCCGGCACCTTACCTCTTTACCTCTCTTTTCTTTCCAGCTCCTGACCGACCACCCAAGCTCTCTTCGCTCCTCGGGAGCCGTAGAGATCTCTGATCTGCGTCTTCCTCTACAGACTGGAAGCTAAGTCTATGGCCCGAAGTTCCACCTGTTGAGAATTCCCCTGTCATGGCTCTCTTCAAGGGCCACCCCCAGTGGAGATTTAGGTCACACAGTTCGTTTGCATCTGTGTAGACCAGCTGCTGTGGCCTGGATGTGTCCCCAGGGGAGGGGTTGGGAGGTGGTGGGATCTTCAGGCAGTGAAGCCTAGTGGAAGGGAATCAGGTCATGGGGTACTGTCCTGCGAAGGGATTAGTGTTGTTCAGAAGGGACCCCAGTTAGCTCCCATGAGATTGGCTGTTAGAGAAAACTACCCTCCTTGCTCTCTGGTGTCTGGCCTTACCACGTGATCTCTCTGTCTCACACATACTCCTGCCCTGAAGTTATCCACCCTGAGGTCATACAACCAGAGAGCCCTTGCCAGAGGCAGCACCATGTTGTCTGAAATGTCAGCCGACCAAACTGTGAGCTCAATAAACTTCTTTTCTTTATAAGATGCCCAGCCTAAGGAATATTGTTATAGCCATGGAAAACAGTCCAACACACTAGCCCATCTATGAGCCATACTTGGCCTTTGCCTCCTCCACAGGCTCGTCATAAGAGAGCCTTCACTGCAGTCAGGGTGTCTGTTGAAGGAAAGAAAACCACAGTGGTGACCCAAGGGTCTGAGCTGCTTGTGGCCTCCTTGTGGCCTCCAGCCCTGCTGGTGCTTGATGAGCCATTTGCATCATACAGATAGAATTCAGCTCAGGGTGGGCAACTCCCACCAGCCACAGGCTGTTCCTGAAGAGGACTCAGCTTGAGTTACCAGCAGCCAGCAGGGCTATCCGGGAACTGAGTACTTTGACCCTCAAGGAGGAATCTGAAAGGCCCTCCAGGGTGCACTCTGCATGGGCCCTGTCCAGCAAGAGCCCCTGGTGAAGCCAGGCACCCCTGGAACCCCAGCTCCTGGGAGGCCAGGCAGAAGAAGAGCTGGCACTCGGGAGTTTCAGACCAGCCCGGGCCACACAGGGAGGTCCAGTCTCAAGGAAAAAGAAATATCTATTGTGAGCCACACACGTAATCCAAAATGTTCCAGTAACCACATGACAAACACTAAAAAGAAACAGGTAAAACCAGTGTTAATACTGTAACTATTTAGCTCAGTGGACCCAAGACATCAACTCGGCGTGTGACCAGTGCTTCTCAACCATGGAGATGTCTTCCATTGTTGGGGTTTGTCTGTGGGCTGGTTTTCCTTGCTGAGTCTTTGAGATCCCGCGGGTGTTCCGTTTCAAGCACATCTCAATCTGCACAAGCCACTTTGCAAGTGTTCAAGAGCCACTGTTCTGGAAACCACAGCTCTAGGCAGAACCCAGGCCTGGGAGGGTCCTCGCCTTGACAGGGCCCCAAGACACCCCTGTGCCACAGCTTCACAGGTGCCGCCACTGCTTGCTGAGAAGGTTCAATTTGAAAGGAAAAGGAAAGAGCAATGGTGGGCAGATGCTCAGCTCCCTCTGCGTCTACCCTGTAATTTAATGCTAAATCCAGCTTTGGTTTCTGTGGCAACCAAAGGAACCAGCTCTCCCCAGCTCAGCTCATCGCCCCTGTCGGGTTGCTAAATGCCGGTGCCTGCAATGCACTCCGCATCCCAAATGCCTCAGCTCTGAGGCTCCCAGAAGCCCTGGATTCTGAGCTCGATCCACAGGCACAGGATGGAGTGTGGGAGCTTCTCATCCCAGAAAATGCAAGAAAGGCGGGATTAGGGAGGCTCCATTTGTGGAGATCTTTAGAAATGGGACAGATCCTCCCTGGCCTGGGGAGACTCACCAGGGCTTCGTGGAGCAAACGGGAGCCTTAGACTTGAAGCCGCACTGCCAACCCAGGAAGCCTGTGGAGACTGACTGTCCCCGGGCGGTCAGGAGCTGGGCTGCTTTGGTTTGGGATGGGGAACCACAGACTGAAATCCTGGCTCCAGCACTGCAGTAGACCTGGGAGGAGCGTCCTGGTCTCCAGGCCAGGAGACACAGAACCATCCTTCAAACCCTGGGCTATCCCGGCCAAGGCCCCTGGACTGGAGCAAGAGGCCCAGGGACCTCAAGGGCGTCCGCCTCTCCCTGTTCAGCGTGGTGAGGTGCAGAACAGGACCCTGGCTCCAGGCACCTCTCCAGCCTCGTGTGGGCCCAGTCCCCACACTCCCTGGCCCCCACTGCAGGCCTCCCTGGCTCAGGCCTCCCTGGGTGCCACAGCTTTCCCACCACCCACCCCTGCCTGCCTGGCCCCTGCCCACCCTTCAGTTCTCAGCCCAGGGGCCCTTCTCTGGGTTCCCCAGCCGGGTGAGGTCTCTCCATCCCTGGACACACTCTGCCATCGCTGCAGACCCACCTGTGTGGGCATGACCGCCCGAGTGGCCGCCAGCTCTCCAGTGAACACTGAGCTCTCAGGAGCAGAAATAATTCCCGATTTTGCTCAGCCTTTTATCCCAGTGCCTGCTACAGTGCTTGACAGAAAGGAAAACTCTCAATAAATATCTGTGGCATGAATAAATAAATAAATGAATCTCAAGGGACAGCTCCTGACAAACGGCAGGTTTCCACAGAACTCTCTGTTGCAAGGCCTCTGAAGCCAGGGACTGTGCGCAGCTCAGAGAAGGCCGTCATCATGGCAGCACAGCCCTGGGCCAGGAGCAGCCTGGGTCCTCAGGACTGCCCTCTGTAGCCCAGGGTCAGGCTTTCTTAGACTCTAGCAGCTTCCCTGGATGGGCTCAGTTCAGGATTGAAATCCTCAAGGCGGGGGTCCTCTGAGCATGCGCACTGTCAAGTTCTGAAGCAGAATATCTTCTCCTTCCTCAGGGGCCTCCAAGGAGATCAGGGCGACAGCACCCAACGTTTACAGAATGTGCTACCAACATCTGCAGCCAGGTGGCTGAGGCCACAGGTCCCCAGGCTAACAGGACAGGGCCAACCCAGCCAAGAGCAGAAGACACGCCAGCCCAGGGCCTGGCCCCTGGGCTCCCTCCCAGCCCTCCGCCTGCCCAGGGACAGATCCGACATGGCAGCCCGCACAGACCTGTGTCTGCTCCAACTGCTGACCCAGAATCCCACGTCATGTGGCTCAGGACTGGTGAAGGGGAAACCAGGGGCCTAAGGACAGTGGCTGTTCGTGACAGGGAGCATTGAGCCATGCTCCTTCTTCCTTCCTTTTCTTACAGTCCCTTGGGTCACCCCGGGTGGCTCAGTCTTGGGCTTCTGGGCTGCCCTGTGAATGCCAGCCATGTGGAGAGAGGACGTGCCATCAGCAGTGCCACATGGGGATGATGGCTGCAGCGCCAGCCACTGCCTGGGCCGCGCAGTGCCCACCCCTCTCTGAGCAAGGCCCCAGGCCTCTCCCTCCCTTCTCTCAGCCACTCCTCTGGCTCGGGCTCTCCTGCGGCCAGCAGTGTTGTGAGGGCAGTTCTCTGGCTTCACGGACAAGTGAGCCCTTTCATACCGTGACAGCCACGCAGCATGCGGTCTGTTGTCAGAGGGAATTTTAAATGCACACAATTTTTAAAAATAAACCATGGCATGCTGCCTGTCAGACATGACCTGGCCTGGGCACCACCCTTCACAAGCTCTCATCCTGGGAATTCATCCACCCCTCCAACCCCCGGGAAGTCCATGGCAAATCAGCCCAGGTTTCGGGTCTGGGAAGAATTGGAACGTGGACCTGGGCTCTAAATGCCGCGTGAACCTGCTCTTGTTGGTTCTCCGCCGGGCGCTTTATCAGCTCTTCCAGGTTGACCAGCTGCCTGACCCGAGCACAAGTCTCCAAGCTGGACAATAGGCTTCTCAGCTCAGGCTGGACACTCCCAACTTGCACTCGTGAGGCTGAGGTTTGCCAATCTCTCATTTCTACCAGGGTTCTAGGTGCTTGCACCAAAATCATGTCAAAGTTATAGGGAAAACGCCCCGCACCTGGCACATTCTGCAAAAGGCTGCACAGTGTAGCAAAGGCTGGTTGGGCTTTGAAGTCAGAAGGGCCTGGGTCTGAATTCTGGCCGTCTTCATGCTCCTTCCGCCCTAAGCTAGCAACAGTACTCTCCCTTGTCCAATTACAGTGAAGGTCAACGTGGTGCAAGACCTAGCACCCAGCACAAAAGAAAGATAAAAACAATCATAAATACTAACTTGTCTTGCCCTTACCAGTTCTTCTAAGTTCACTTAATTCAGTTGAGACTGCGTCTTCGGCTGCTTTGGGAGGTACAGAATCCCGAGGTCAGACCATCAGTCTGCTTGGCTCCGCAGCACAGACGGTGTCTGGAGGGCATCTGGAGCTGTGCACATTTCCGAGCTTCAGAACCCAGGGTCTGTTGTGTGTCAGGGCCGCTTTTGCATGCAATTAGAAGGCCTGCAGGGGTCCTGAGCTAAATAGCTCTGCACACTTACTAACAGACCTCACGGTGCTGGGCACAGGGTGGGGGTTCCATAGTCAGCTCGTTTTGCTGGACAGGGGCTCTGCCTTCCTCTGGTGAGGGCTGTGAAGGGTCCTCAGCTGGCCAGTTTTCACCTGTCCCAGTGACACCCACCTGGCAGACTGTTAGGCAAGCTACCAGTGCCACATGCGTTGGTCAGCCCTTCATTACAACTCACTCCCATTCTGCAGGTGCAAGGCCTGACACATGGCCCCAAGAGAAGAGGACCACCACTCACCGCGCTCCTCTGTAGAGCAAAGACACTACTTGTGCCCCTTTCATTGACCCTTCACAGCTGTGTTAGGAGGTATCACCATTTTCCAGGTAAGGAAAGTGAAGCCTTAGGCAGGTTAAGCAGCTCCGCCAAGGTCACAGATGTAAGAGGCGGAGCCAGGAGATGGGGTGACTCACGCCAAGGGAAAAGGAGAGGAAGGAGGCCTGGACTCCACCACTAAGTAAATGACTGAGTCAGCCCACACGGCAGCTGGGCCCACTCCAGCCCAGCGAGCCCCTGCAGGAGGCCCAGGGCCCTCGCGGGGGCAGCGGAGTGGACAGGCCCTCTGCTCCCCAGGCACCTCAGTGCTCCAGGCTCTTTGCTGCTACCCGCTCCTCTCCTGCAGAGCTCAGGGCTGCCAGGCTCCTCCCTGCAGGCAGGAAGGATTGGCTGCTGGAGGTGCCCTCGCCTGCACCTGTCCGGTGCAGGGCTCCCAGGCCGCCTCTCACCACTCACGTCCTGGCGGCTCTTTCCCACGCTGGGTCTTTCCACACGGCCCTTCCCTCTCAGTTTTCTGCACAGTAGGGTGTTTCCTGCTCTTACTCCCAAACTTTCTTCTTGGCCACCATGGAGCTGCTGGGCTCAGAGTTCAGGGGACAGGCCGCCGCCCTTGGTTCACCGGTAAGACGAGGCTGGGAAAGAGGTTTTCTGGGTGTCTTCAAGGGTCAATGTACAGAGCAGGCATGAGGAAAGACACCTGCCAAGGTCATTATTTCTAAAAGGCTTTAGACAGGGATGAGGACAGACAGAGATGAGAGCGTGGCCTCAGAGGCCGCCTAGGCCAA